GAAACCTTTCCTACTTTCATGTTCCTATCTCCAGTGTTTTGTCATGGCAACTGAATGCTGACTGCTACAAACGTTCACTTTGACTCAGGCCTAGCTTCCACTGTGGTGTATTCCAGGTGGGTTGGGGGTCCAGGTCTGCGTTGAGTGAGCGAGCGAGCGAGCCTGTGCTCTGGGCTCTTCTGGGGATCTTGCCAATCAGAGACAGATCATGAAGCAGCCTGGTCAGGCACCAGGCTGTTGGTGGAGCAAGCAGCCGTCTTCAGGGAGGAACCGTGCGCAACCACCCTGGTTTTCCTGGCTGCTGAGATTAGCTAGGGAGTGTGGGACCTGGCAAGGCCATCAGCCCTTCTGAGCTCATCCACAAGACAGGGATCATCGCGCTTTCCTTTCAGGTTGATGCAGGGAATAAAGACGGATAAGAGCATTTAAACAGGGCTGGCCTGAAGGCCTGGGACACATCAGGCTCATTATATAGTTATCATTCAGTATAGTTCCTTCTTCTGGGTCTGTGGCTGGGCGCTGGCTTCCCATGTGCCTACAGGTGAGACACACCCCAGAAAGCAGCAGAGTGTCTGTCCATCCACTGCTGCTTCTGTCCTAAAGAAGCTGGTGCTTGGACTGAGTCCCTCCGAGCCTCCGTCTCTGAGTGCCTGGGGAGACAGACATATGCAGACCTGGCTAGTGGGGTTTTTGCATGTATGTGGCTGAGGACAATCCTGGTCCCTGTAGGAACCATGGAGGCCTCAGCCTTACAGCCCCAAATGGGTCCAGGTCAGACACCAGTGTGGATGGGGTCTAATTTTGTTGGAGATCCAGACACAGCTCTCCACGGTGGCAATAGGACATAGGACAGTCCTCACTTAATATAGACACCTCTTGACTACCCTCCAACACGTTTACAGGCTCTGCTTCCGTGAAGTAAGTTGGAGGGAGCTGGGTGTGGTGGTACATGACTGTGACCCCAGCACTGGACTCGGGAGGATCGGGAGTTCAAGGTCAGCCTTGACTACACAGCAGGTCTTGTGAAGGCCAGCCTGGCAGGGTCCTTGCTTGCAGGATGCTAGCACACAGAAGTATCTGGGCCCTCCCTGCCCTGGCCCTTTGGTTCTCAGGGAGTCAGGGGAGGGGTAAGAAAGCTTTTCTGTCATTCAGAGAAGCAGAAGGCAAGGTTGTGCTTCAAATTCCCAAGATCCAGGAAGCATGGGAGAGTCTGTAGTGGGGCTTGATGCTGGGCACAGATTGGCATCACTGGAGTTCTAGGGGTGTGAGCAGGGGGTAGGAGGGCTGACCTCACCCAGCTTTGTGAGCAGGGGCTGGGGTTTTAGGCTTTGTCTGTGAGCGATGGGGAGCCATGAAAGATTTAACAGAGAGAAGTAACACAGCACTGTCATTTTCAAATGTCCCTTTCCTCTTACATGGGGAAATGACTGAGGACGGGCCTGCAGACAGAGAGGCCAGGCTGTCACAAAGCCTGGGCAGGAAGGACATGGAGAGGACTTCGACAAGTGCAGCTTCAGAGGTGGAGGGAAGTGGCCTAGTTAGGGATTAGTCAGGGATGGAGGCAGTCATGCTTCCTGCCTCTACCTTTGCCCCTTACAGAAGAGTCTCCCCACTGCAGCCAGAGCCATCCTGGTTAAACCCTAAGTCCAGATTATGCCAGCTCTCTGGCTTTCTGTCTCAGGGTCCAAGCCAAAATCCTTGCCAAGGTCTACGAGATCGACACAGGTATCCTATCCACCCCCACATCGCCCTGACTCACCTGCTATTCACCCCCCTCCCTCACACCTCTCCAGACACCTCCCACTGTTCTTAGAACTCAGGAGTACAGCTTCTCCCTCTGCCCCATTGAAGACCTTTGCTTTTTCTGCTCCTTTTGCCTGCTAGCCAACAGGTGCTCATCACCCTCCTCAGGTCCCTGCTCCTGTCGCCTGCTCTGTGAGGGCTTTCTAGACCCCTTGTATAAAGCTAATTATATAAATTTTCATTCAACATCCTCATTTCCTCCACACTGCTGTTTACAGTGTGTGCTCTTGGGTGTGTGAAAAAGGATCTCACATAGCCCAGGTTGGCCTAGAACTTGGGGCATAGTCAAGGGTGGCCTTGAACTTCGGAGTCTTTTACCACTGCCTCCCCAGTCCTGGGATTACAGGTGTACACCACCACTCCCATTTTATGCAATGCTGGTAACTGAACCCGGGACTTTGCACATGCTAGGCAAGCACCCTACCAATGGAGCTACACGTCCAGCTCCAGTTTCTGTCTGTGTTCTGTTGGTTCAAAATGTTTTCCTAATATGCCTGGCACATAGGAGGTTCTTATCCACTCTTTGATTGAATGCATGACCTGAGGTTGGGCATGCAGGAGTTGGGCAGCTGTTCTCCAGGACCTACTTCCCACTGAAAGCGTGTAGGAATGGAAGCGAGGACTAAGGAAGCAGAGAAAAGGTGTGTGGTGGGTTGTGGATGTGGGTGTCTGTGTGTGTGTGTGCACCTGTGTGTGTCTGTGCATATGAATGTAAAAGCACACATGTAAGTGTAAGAGTCGATGCTGACCCCAGAGCCCCCACACCCTCTGGGGTCTCGGCAGGACAGAGGCAGCTCTAGGCTGGGCTCAAGGAGAAAACCGGTAGTGCCAGAGGCACGAGAGTGAAAGGAATGTGGTGCAGGCCATGGGGATAGAACTACTGACTATCTGGGGTGGGGTGGGGTGGGAAGGGAGTCTCTGGAGGAAATACCTCTATGCCAGCTCTCTCTCTAGATCCAGGGAGCTCCCCAGTCATGGTTCAGAGACGTTTGTTTTTTTCCAGGGCACAACACACCTGGTCACTGACTACTGGACATGACAAGAATACCTCTGACATGTTTGTACAGGAAGAATGAGGTGGAAAGATTAACTGTTAAACTCTTACACAGTCATAATTAAAGCCACATGATGTCACAGGAACAGCAAATAGATCAGAGGGATAAAATCTAGCTGTAAGACTTCTCATGAGAGGACAGTAGGGGGTTGGAGAAATGATTCATTTGGTGAAGGGGACCTGAACCCTAGCACTCATGTAAAATGCTCTGTGTGGTGGCACACACCTATAATCCCAATATTAGGGAAGCTCGCCCAGGGTCCCGGTGCTGGGGAAGCTCGCCCAGGGTCCCGGTGCTGGGGAAGCTCGCCCAGGGTCCCAGTGCTGGGGAAGCTCGCCCAGGGTCCCAGTGCTGGGGAAGCTCACCCAGGGTTCCGGTGCTGGGGAAGCTCGCAAAAGTTCGCCCAGGGTCCCTGTGCTGGGGAAGCTCGTGGAAGCTCGCCCAGGGTCCCCGTGCTGGGGAGGCTGAGGCAGGAGGAGCCCGGAGCTGACCTGAAACTTGATCTCACTGAACCAGTTGGAGACCCTGTCTCAGAAATTAGATTGAAAAGCAATAGAGGAGGACACCCAACATCAGCGTCTAGACTCCACCCACCTGTGTACACACAAGGAAAAAATGATATCACACACACACACACACACACACACACACACACACACACACACACACACACAGTGGGGTATGGAAAATTCCTATCAATTATCAATAAGAAGTAAAATAAACCTGGAGTACATGGGCAAAATTTTCGGGTAATTTCTATGAGAAGTACTCTTCGGGAAAGAGGGGAGGGACACTGTGTTCCCAGCTGTTACTTCAGCCCTGGACACGCACTTACTTTATTTACCATATGCAATGTGTGAAAACAGTGTCGGAGAGAGTGAGGAAGAGGTTCCTGTTGCCCGCAGATGGTTAAAATGTGAACTGGCGACAGCCTCCTGTTGCCTGTGGTAGCACAGAATACGCACCACAAATGGACATTAGCTGGGCTCATTAAACAAACGACCATGGGAGCTTCTCACTCAAAGCAAGCAGAGAGGTTAGTCCACTGGTTTAGGATCCAGGACAGCTGTGGGCTTGAAATGCACAACAATTGGTAAATTGTGTGCGGTTGGAGTTCATCGAGAAGCCAACTCTGGAATCAGGGTCGCTCTCCTCTCCACCATTCCAAGCATGTTTCTCTCCAAGTGCCTTCTTCTGTGCATTGGTGTTTGGGCTGCATGTGTGTCTGTGTGAGAGAGTTGGATCCACTGGAACTTGAGTTTCAGACAGTTGTGAGCTGCCATGAGTTGAGTCCAGGTTCTTTGGAAGAGTAGCCAACGCTCTTAACTGCTGAGGCGTTTCTCCAGCCCCCTCCAAGTGCCTTCTAGGGCCCCCTTTCTGTGGATGGACTTTCCCTCTAGCTCTGACAGGGAGGTAAGAGCAGCACAACCGCCCAGGAGTGGGAAGACGGTGCCTCCGAGAACAGGTGGAAGCGCATCTCCACAGGCGTAACTACCGTAACTACCTACTGTAACTACCGTCTACTCCATGATAGGAAAGTGCCTGCAGGCAAGGGGCTGAAGCTCAGCTAGGGAACGTTCACTGGGAAACTTCAGTTGCGTCCTCAGCTTCCCCAGTCAGTTTCTGCTGGATGCTGTGGTTGTCCCTTTGATGACGTCATCTCTACCTGTCACTGTTTGTCCTTGCATTTGGAAGTCTCACCCAAGGGAACTCTATCAGAAACTCCGGCTGACTGCCTTAAAGGGGCTCCCCCCTCCTCCATCGATTCTTGCTGGGCGTTTTGAGTGCTGTTGGTTCTGTTTTGCTTCTAACCATCTATCCATCTGCCATTTATTCTTTGACTTTACATTACTGTATGTTTAATGGACTCACTCATTCAAAACCAAAAATATGGCTACGGTAGATCATTCTCCAGACTGTACAAAACACAGCTATCAACAGTCACTCATCAACTCTGTCACTTTTCTATTTTTAAAAGTGGGAGTCTGAATAGGCTTATGTAACCAAAAGATGCAAGGCAGACCACTTTGAGTGAACTGGGGGGGGCGGGGGGGGCGGAATCCGAGGAGTATAGAATTTCTATTGATGCTGGACCAAGCATCTTAGAGAAAAAATGCATTCTTCTTTTCCCCGGAACTCGGCCTTTTGTCTCACCATGGAAGAATCAAGCATGCCCCCTAGTGGGAGGATGAAGAAAGATGCGGGGAAATGGTGGTGGTGATGAGTTTGTGTGGACAGAAAGGATGGAAGAACCTGGGAAGAGAGAGAATCAGGAAGTGGGTACCACCCAGGGAGGTTGCTAGGGGCCACCTCTAACCACTCGTGCTGACAACAGGCATACCAAGACCTTCATGGTCCATGCTTATCTTTGAATAGTTCCTGACTCTGTGGCGAACGCTTGCCTCCCTCATCTCTTGGTTCTCAGCTGTCATCTTTCCTGACCTCACCCAGGCCAAACTCCTTGTTACACCGCAGCCCCAGACCTCCGTATTAATGGAGCTATCTCTTGTGACTTAGTCTGCCATCCAACCTGAAGCCTGTCTGGCTCACCACAGAACCTCGTGTGTAGGACAGGCCTGGCACCTGAACTGACCTTACAGGACACTGGAGCCTTGGCCTGTACTGGAGGTTGGCAGGCCAGACACCAGCTGGTTCCAGGGCAAGCAGAAGGACTTTATTAGAGAGGCCGGGAGGACATATATTTACACGGGCCATGAGGGGACACTAAATGAAGCAGGCGAGGCAGGATTTCCCAGCTCAGACGAGTTCCACCTTGGCATTGGGGTACACGGCCACCACATCATATCCCTCTGGTGGCTTGACCCGCGCCTTAGCATGGTTCTCACAGTACAGTCGTTCATCCAGGAAGAAGTATCCACGCTGCTTGAGATTCAGGCCGCAGTCGCTACACATGAAGCACTCGGGATGGTAGAGCTTGTCCCTTGCCTTGACGATGGTTCCCCTGGTGTGGGGGGAAGAGGGACAGGTGACTGACATAGTCTAGGACAAACCTCCACCAGGACCCTGGAGAACAGAGGTGGAGTTGTGGCGGCGCTGGTGGGCAGGGTGGGTACTCACACAATCCCGTGGCCACAGCGCGTGCACTCTGGTAGCCCCTGCAGGCCACTCAGCGGAGCACCCAGCTTGCTGGCTGCTGGCTTGAGGTTCCTGGGACCACCAGACCCAGGCCGCTCCCCTGAAATCCAGAGTGCAGGTGGTATGAATGGGGCAGGTGAGATAAGAACCCCACTTCTGCAGGATGTTGCTTCTGGGCCCTGGTCAGAAGCCTAGAGGGGAAGCACTTGGTTGGTATGAGGTAAGGGAGAGCCACATGGTGGTCCAGTGGAAATCAGAGGGTGAAGGCACAGTCATGGTGAAGGCACAGACAGGACCCGAAGAGGGGCAGATGGCTGGAAGGTGTGGATCAGTTGGGGTTGGAGGTGTGGAGGGTAAGCTGGGGTCCTGCAGGGAGAGGGGAGGCAGATGAGATAAGGTGTTGGGAGCCTTACCGCCTTCGCCAGCCTCAAGCATGCCTTGCAAGTAGCGGAAGGATCCGGACTGCTTGGGTTCCGAGGCCGCTGGCTCTGCTGGTTCCCTCAACATCTTGTAGACCTCTGAACCCAGGTCCACCCTGCAGTCTCGGTTCCGAGGGAGAACCCTGGCTGTGTCAGCACTGGGCAGGAGAGAGATGGAAGGCTAGAGTGGGAATTCCAGTCTTGGTTCTGACAGCCTTTTCAGTCAGACTATAACTCCGTGAGTCTCCAAGATCAAGCCTTAGGGCCCAGGATGAAAATGGTTGAGATCTGATGGATTAGGATGGGTCTGGGCATGACTTCAAAGGCCTGGCCTCTGTCCTACCTGGGAGGTGGAGGAGACACATGCAGAGCGCTCATCTGGGCTGGCAGGGTGACCTCATTGCTGCTGCCATTGTGAGGGACCGGAAGGCGAGGTGACTGACCGTATGGAGATCCCAGGCCGGATCTGTTGTCTTCCAGCCCAGTCCCAGAGACTGAGGACCGCCTGCTGGTCGCTGGACTGCCATCCTGTAAGAGTGAGGCCTGAGGCACTAGGAGCCCTCTGACCTCTGACCACTCCCGGTGACTCTCCTCCTCCACCCTGCTACGCCAGGCCTCTATGTCCACTGTGGACCACTGCATTGACATCTCTAGGCCACGGTAACAGCACTAGGAGCCCTCTGACCTCTGGCTGTTCCTGTAGACGTGGACTTTCCTCCACCCTGCTACGCCAGGCCTCTGTGTTGGTTAGCTACCTCTGTTCTGACATTTCTTTTATACCCAAGCAGCAAAGGGGTCCGGGGCTGGAAATACAAAAAGGGACTCTTATCCTATAGCTGGAAAGGGCCCTAAGAGCTTTCGCAAAGGTCCTTCAGAGGGAAGTCTGAGACGCAAGGGTGCTGCCCTGGGGTCAGCTTCTCTGGGCCTGCATCCCATTCCTGCTCGCCACTCTTGTAGCTTTCCTGGGGAGCAGCAGACAAGGAGTAGATGCAGCCTGGTGTCTATGGTTGAAAGAACTGGATGAAGAGTGACCTGAGCTTGCCCCTCAGTCTGTAAGGACAGGCTAGGGGCTTTGGGGGGTGGGTCTGAACAGGATCTGGGTGCCTGTGTCCATGCAGAGTCCAAAGTGGTGCTGCTGACCTCAGCCCACAGGCACACAGCCTGCCCACAGCAATACGAACAAGGGCACACATCCTCTCACAAGGGCATTTAAAGATATGGGTAAGGACAATACACACACACACCAGCCAATGTCCCGATGTACACCTTTATTTACGTATGCTAGTCATCCTGGGGAAGGCCGTGTGGCTAAGCCTGGGCTGGCAGGTGAAGTAGCCTCATTTATGGCATAAAGCTCACGTTCAGGCCATGGGTGTGTCCCAGTCTAGGGGGTGATATATGTAGGCCTTTCTGCTCTGCAGTGTGGACAGGGAGCCTGGGGGAAAAGGAAAGGGAAAGTTCCCTAACAGGAAAGAGACCAGCTGGGGCTCAGGCAGTTCCCAGCACTGGAACAGTCTAGCTTGCCAGGCTCTGCCTTGATTACCCCTGATCAGCTGGGTAGGGCACCTCTTTCCCCCTCAAATCTCAACAAAGGTAAGAGGCCTTCTGGACAAGTAGAGCCCCATTGATGCTGCTGTGGTGGCGGCAGCAGCAGCAGCAGCAGCAGCAGCAGCAGCAGCAGCAGGAGCCCTGGTCCCCAGTGAAAGGCCCTAGAAACCTGAGCACCCTCACACATGTGTCTGCAGGGTAGACAGGCAGGCAGGACGGACGGGCCTCTAATGGGGACCAGATGGGTTGTGGTCGGTAGGGGTATAACTGGGGAGGAGGTGGGGCTGAGCTCTGCATGAGACTTCAGTGGAAAATGGGGAATGGGAGTCAAGAAGCAGAGGCTGGGAGGATGGAGGTCCCTCACTCACCGCCCCCGCCCCCACCCAGCAGGGTGTGGGAGCTGACTGCAGGGTCATCAGTGAACTATGGCCCCTCCCATGGCCACCCATGCAGCAGTTTCTCTAGGTCTGAACTCAGTGGTGACCTCGGTGTGTGTGTGTGAGTGGCAGCTCTGTCACCCCCTGGTGTACGTTAGTCACCTCTCTGATCCTGTTTCTTCCCCTAACCTGGACAATGTGATGGTCTCGGTATCATGGCTTCTCGGGATGCAGTACTCAGGATGAAGTGGGGTGACTGATTGCACCAAGTGCGAGCATGGTGTCAGGCTGGGTGACTGTCATGGGAGTTCCTGCACGCCCTTTCTTCTGTTTCCTCTCTTTGGCCAGCAGTGTCCCTCCCACACACCTGACACTCCCCGCTCTGAGCTACAGCCTGGTACTGGTGTGCTTGGTGAAGTCTCAGAAGAGTGTGAGAGGGTAGCTAGACATAGGACACTATGAATGGAAGTCAACACTACAGCCAGAGGGACAGGTGGCTCTCTTCAAGGCTGAGTCTCAGCTCCCAGTGTTCAAGGCCCCACCCCCACCCCCCATCACCCAAGCTTTCCTTAGTGCTCTGCTTCTTCCACCCTGAGTGGCCCACGTGGGCCTCGAGAAAAGAGGGTCTCCCGTGGCCTTGCAGAGAATGTGGTCCTAAGGCTGCAGTTACCTGCCCCATTCCACTAGGGGATACGTGCCAGGAGTGCCCTGTGTTGGCCTAGGGCTAAGTGTGGTTGCTTCCCTCTCTGCTGGTTCTAGCCGGCCCCACCCCCGCACTCAGAGGGTGGGAGCAGAGTGGGGACAATGAGTCTTGTGTCTGTGCTCCTGGGGACACAGCCCTGCCGGGGGTGGGTAGGGTGTTTTTGTCACCACCCCACAGAGCCCAAGACCTTTTAAGTACAAAAGGGGGGCAGCAGCTGGGGGAGCACTCTGTTGTTTGTGGAAAATCACTCTCCTTACAGTAAGGGCCGCCACTGCAAGGCACAGTGAGTGGCCTTTGAAGGAAACCCTGAGGAAAAGAATGGGGGCAGGAGATGCTGCTCTGCAGCCCTGGCCGCCTGACCCCATAGGGAGGTCTGCAGCCCCAGCCTCCCAAGCCTGTAGGGGAGCCATTCTGCACCCCAGCCTTCCAGCCCCAAAGAGGAGCAGCCCCTGGTCCCCAGCCTTGGTCTGGTGATTCCTTCCGCTCCCAACCACGTCTGTGCTGTCCGCTCAGCACGGGTGCCCTGAGAAGAGCTGGGCACCTCACAGCAACTACCCACCTTCTGTTCCTTGTTGCCTGGCTGTTTTCTGCCAAATCTGTCCTCTCCTCCCTGCCTGTAGGACCTCAGATAGAGCAAAGAACGCTTCTAAGATCCAGATGTTTTCCAGGAGGAGCTGAAGTCCGGGATGAAGGACCTAAGAGCCTCTGGGTAGCTGTGCCTCCTCCACCCCTACCCTCTCTCTTCTGTGCTCTCTGACCCAGGGCACACTCACCCCTGGGCTTGCGAGTGCTTACTGGGTACATTTCCTCTTCCCACACCCTTCTGCCTAGGTCCTAAGGTCTGGGCTTGGATATCCTTCCTCTGGGGAGCCCTGTCTGACTTCTGGTTGAAACCTCTTCCCTCTGCCCCGGTCCTTTTCCTTCCGTATGAAGAACACAGACAAAAGCAGGCCTCTCGTGTTGAGTGCTCTCGATTCAAGCTACACCACAGACTAGCCCAGGATCCACCTGGTCCAGCTCTGGAGCAAGCTCTAGGTATCTGAGTCTGGGGCACTTGGCTACCCCTCTCATGAGACACTAGCATCCGGGTTCCCTCCCTCTCCTGAGCACAGGGCAACAGCTGCCACTTCCAGGTGACACAAAATGAGAACTCTCCAGCCTCAGACAGAGTACATAAGGCTGGCACAAGTCAGGAGTGGCCACAGCCTAAGCTCACCCGCTGCTCTAGGCTGCCACCTCCCCACCCCCATCTCTCCCCAAGCCTGTTGACTTCTTTTTGATCTGGCATCTCCGGGTATGGGAGTAAACCTCAGCTCAGTGTGTGGGAACCCTGAGCCAAGGCCTAGCCCAGCCCCAGTCCATCACAGGCCCCCTTGCCAAGAACGCAGGATTACTTGGAGTCAGGACAAGCCCACTGTAGGTGCTCACCACCTCAAGAGCATGGGACAGAGGCAGGCATGGCCCAGAGCAGCCTTCTGCTTCAGTTTATGTCCTGGCCCTCTGAGCATTAGTGTGAGAAGTTCACTGGTACGGGTGAAATCTGGATCATGCCTAGCTCCTCAGCCCTGGTCTCACTCTGAGCCAGCTGGGCCAGGCCAGCAGTGTCTGTACATACCTGAGACTCAGGGTCAACGTGGATCCTATGTGCTTGAGCCTTGTCGTCAAGGGCACTGGGCCAGTTCTTGTTCTCAGGCCTGCAGCAGGAATTGGGGTGGTGAGATATGTCTGCCTATGAGTCCTCCCCATGCCTGGGAGTCAGGGACAGGAGGGGTTAGGCTCGGGGCTCAAAGCAGGGAGAAGGGTGATGTCTCAGCATTTCCCCGTTCAGCACAGTGGTGTCTCCTGACGCAAGGCGCCACCAGCTCAGGTCCGCCACCCTCCTGAGGCAGGGCTGTGTGTTCCCTTCCCTGCCAGTGGCCTCATGCCTTCCCCATCTCTTTCCTGAAGAGCTTGCCGCTCAGACACTTCTCCCTCTCTGTGGCCTGCAGAAACTCCACTCCAGGAGGCTCAGATCGCAGCAAGGCAAAGCCAGGCCTCACACATGGATTAGCCGGGAGCCAGTCCATTCATCCTCTGACCTCCATAGCCTCTGGCCGGGGCCTGGGTGGCTCTCAGGGAGGTGAAATGGAGGCTGTGGGGGAGCACCTCCCCTCCTGCTGCCTCCACCCCCTCAGGCAGAGTCATCACTGATGTCTGCCCAGCCCAGATGGGAAACAGGCCATTAGGAAATTCCTGCTTCGCCATAGAAACCAAAAGCCAAACACCACTCGGGAGGGAGAAAAACATCGTAAAGCTGCCATAAGCAGGACAGGCGGGCCTAAAGGCTACGGGCCCAGTCCTGCCACTCAGTAGCTCTACGAGAGGCAAGCCAGGAGGGTGTGTGGACCGTGGGTTGGCAGGCAATGTATAGCAAGCCTGGTTGGACTGAGGAAATAATGTCCCTCAACTAAGAGGCCTCCTGGGGCTTCTCAGAGCTCAGTCCTGCCTCCTTTCTCTTGTTGGCTCAGGGATTTTTTTTTTTTTTTTGAGACCAAGTCTCTCTACGGAGCCCTGAGTGTCCTGGTACCCATTATATAGACCAGGTTAGCCTTGAGTTTACAGAAATCCACCTGCCTCTGTCTCCCCAGTGCTGGGATTAAAAGTGTGCGCCACCACACCCAGCTCAGTGATTTAATACTGTGTCCACACTGACTCAGCTCTCTCACCCCTGTATACTCTGCTCCCCATCTTCTGGAGGCCAAGCCTTTCCTCACAGCCTTTGTTTCTAGCCACTCAGCTAGGTTCCTAGTGACGCCTCTAAAAGAGGTGTAACCACATCTACCTACTCTGATATGACATACCAGGGAGGTCTTGTTTGGCTGTTTATATTTTTCTAAACATCTGCCCAGAATGTCACAAGCCTGGGGCCTGAGGGTCAGAGCACCAAGTCTCCAGTGCCGTGCGAATGACCCAAGGTGTCAGATAAGAATGGAGGACTTAGTCATGTATTGCGCTCTACTTCAGGCTATGCAGGTGATGCCAGCTGCCCATCTTTAAACAAAACAAGAAGCAAAGGTTGGGCTGTGCAGAGGTACCAAGGGATGGCAACAGAGACTCCCTGTGGCAGAGCGTAGTTGGCATGAGGAAGGTCCTGATCTACAGAACAAGCCCAAGAGATGTGATGTGACGTGGATTATTGGATGCCTGCCTTTGGCTCCCTGTAAGGTAAGTCCAGAGGGAAACAAGGGCTTCCCTGCACCTCTCAGTTTGTGGGAGAGCTAGCAGAGCCCTAGAGGCAGGGAAGCTGCTCTAAGCAGAACGCCAAGTCCCTCACGTAGCCAGGTCATTAGCCTGACCCTCTCCAGAGCCTACAAAGGGGGTGGAAGATGTGTGTTGTGCCCTGGCATAAGCCCTGAGGAGTGAGCTGGACGGGGAGCAGGGACAGAGGCCTTGGAGGTAGGTCCAATAGAAAGAGGGTTAGGCTAGGTAGCCATGTTGCCAAATTCCCCCAAGTCTAGTGTGTGCAGATCGGAGATGGTGGAGAGAAGGAAAGCCTTGGGTTTTCACTCTGACTGAATGAGCCTGGCACTTCCTCACCACTCAGTGTCAAGATCACAAGGCAGCCCCTGATGTGGGACTGAAGAAGTTTGGGATCGGGGTGGGTTGGGGGTAGGTAAAGCACTTGCTGGAAGGCAGATGGCCCTGTCACACGGACCATGTGCTCTCATCAGCTCCATGGCCACATGGCGTTCTGAGACTGTAATTCCCAAAATGCAACAGGGAAGTGGCCTCCTGGCTCCCTCCATGCCTAGATTGGAACAAATGACCAGGGAAGGAAGGAAGGGGGATCTCCACCCCGCTACCATCCCTGACATCATTCTCTCTGGGAATCTCCTGACTCAGGACCCTTTGAGCCTCCCCACAGCTCTGCCATCACTAGGGCTGCCCTCATTCAGCGAGAGAACAAAGCCAGAGGTGAGTCAGGGCCCAGGAACCCAGCCAAGCTGGGAGGCCTCAGAGGCTACTTGCGGGCAAAGCTTCCCCTAACCAGCCATGCCTCCGTCTGGCAGAGAGTGAGGAATGGGATGTATGGGAAAGGAAACACGGGCTCATGGAACTCGTGTGGATATCTTAGATAGAAGGGTCTAGATGAGGCTGGGGAGTTCTCTGTGTGCCAAATGGAGCATAGACTTGCAGCTGGGCTGCTCAGAGCTCAGGGAATGTCCGAGATTCCTGACCTCAACAGGGACCTGGTCACAGGCCAGGCGCAAACAAGGGCTACCTTATAACCCTCCTCATCGTGTTAAAGGCTCTGAACCAACGGATCAATCTGGCGTGGGTTAACTGTGTTGTGGTTTGGGAATGGTTTCGCCCACACAGATCCACAGGGGGTCCTGGAAAGTCCCTGTTAGCAGTGAATGTGGCAAAATTGAGCTGTGTCTCTGGGCCCAGGCAGGGAAGGTGGATGGAGAGATCCTACTCAGCTAGAATTGAGCCAACTGCTCATGGGAACTGGTTAAAGAGCCAGGGCCTGAGCAAGGCAGAGGCTTGAACCTTCATCCCAGCACCATCTTTGGGACACAGTTACCTGGCCCCCACCCCCATCCCTTCATGACGGGGCTGCACAGTGTTACATGGTCCACGGAAGGAAAGCTTGTTCCAAATCCAGATTTAACCAGAGCAGAGTCATAGGGCCTGGTAAAGACAGCTGTTGAGGCAGAACAGCTGTGGGATTGGTCAGAAAGGTTGGCAGACACTTGAGGAGGAGAGAGAGAGAGGGAGGGAGGAGAAGGAACAGGAGAGGAGACTGGTTATGTGACTTTAAGTGTCCTCTACCTTGCTACTTTCATCTGTAAAGTGGGCCTATAACTAGGTTTTACATTTTTAAGTTAATTTGAAGATGAGCTGGTCAACAAACTGTCCCCTTGGAGGAGAAAGGACTGATGTGTTTTTTGTTTTGGATTTTTGTTTTGAGATAAGATCTCACTCCGTTGCTCAGGTTAACTCTGAATTCCTGTTGCTCCTATCTCAACCTTCCAAGAACTGGGATTATAGGTGTGTGCCACCCAGCTCAAGATCGTATTTCTGCTGCCACAAGGGCAACAAAGCACTCTGAGCTAACTGGTGCTAATCAAGTACCATGAAAGCACCAACCCCTAGGGCTGGGCCCCGATGGGGTGCTCCGAGGTGAGGCAGAAAGGTTGTGTGGGCTCAGTTTCCCAGACTGGCCAGCACTGCCCCCCACACCATGTCCTCTCGCCTTTCCAGCCCAGCCTGCCCATCTGTACCTGCTCACAGAGAGTGTGAGGTGATCATGGCAGCCTTTAATGCCCACCTGTACCTGCTCACGGAGAGTGTGAGGTGGTCATGGCAGCCTTTAATGCCCACCTGTACCTGCTCACGGAGAGTGTGAGGTGATCATGGCAGCCTTTAATGCCCACCTGTACCTGCTCACGGAGAGTGTGAGGTGATCATGGCAGCCTTTAATGCGGTTCTGAGCTTCCAAGTGTGTCATGAACTCTGTGCTCTCACCGTTGATGGCTTGGATCAGGTCACCCGGGCACAGGGCAGCCAGGGCCGCTTTGCTTCCAGCATGAACCTGTGGTCAGACAAATCACGTGGTTGGCACAGTTATCACGTGGCCTCCTGCACTAGGTTCCCTTCAACCTCAGAACATGGCCGGTGTGGCCTCGTGCCAGTGTGACCTGTGGGTGGGCAAGCCAAGAGGCTGGCTGAGGTCCCCTTGTGGCCTCTGATTTCAAGGCCCGTCTCCAGCCCCTGCAGACCTGGTTAGATGTAAGGATATATGAGGGGCTTCTTCTAGCCTGGGACAAATGGCATGCCACTTTATAGTCTGTGTAGGGACACTAAGACATGCAAGGGACACTCAGACACACAAGACACGTATGCCCAGACACACACGGAGCATGGACATGTCCTAAGCATTTTACACTGACAATACCCTACTCAGGCAGCCCTTGACCCTACTTATTGATCTCACCTCTCATGCCCACCAAACGTTCACCTACTCCACCATGCTGTGGTTACCCCATCTAAACACCTGCAGGGTACTCAAAGGCACCAGACAGCACTCCACATCTTAACTTCCCCAAATGCTGCTCCTTCCAGCTGGCACTGGAATCTTCTGGTTCTTTAAGCCTGATTACTAACTAGCCCACTCCTCCGCTAGACCTCAGCGCAGAGCCCAGTTCCTCTGAGAGTACCTCCTTGTGCCCTCATTACCCGCACCCTGCATTGCCGATGCATTGTTACAATTAAAAGGGGGAGGTGAGTACATCACCTCCTTAGACAAGTTCAAAGCCATCCAGTTCCAGCTACCAGCCTGTACTCTAGGGTTGTAACTCCATCTCGGCTTCCCCGGCAGGACCCCTAGTGTCCTCTATTGACCCAACAGACTCAAGCACTTTTGGTCATCTGATGAAGGTCATGTGATGTGGGTGGGGGAAGACTCACAGAGACGTCTAAATAAGAATCTTGGGGGACTGAGGTGGCAGGGCACCCTGGAAACAGACTGGGAACAGACGAGGGTCTTCACTCCAGCCTAGAATGAACAGCCAGCACTTCCCTGTGGCTCGAGACTTGCCAATGACCTTGTTCCTATCAGTGGGGCTGGGGCTGGGAGGTCCTGGCAACCCGGGCAGGCTCAGCTCAGCCAGTTTCTAATAGAGAGTGGACAATGCCAGGTGCTGGCAGTTCCTTGGCTAGAAGCTTGGTGTGAGCACTGCCCAAGCTGCCTTGCCCTGAAATAGACTGTCTCAAGAAATATTCTTTTTCCCCTTCCTCCTCCCACCCCCCATGTGTATACGTGTGTGTGTGCGCGCGTGTGCGTGTGCACGCACGCTCACCTGGGTGTGCATGCGTAGAAGCCAGAGGCTGGCATCAGTATCTTCCTCCATGGCACTCTGCCTTTGTTGTTTTGAAACATGGACTCTTACTGAACCTGGAGTTCACCATTTTTGGCTAGACTATCTGGCCAGTGAGCTTCTGGGATCTGCCTGTCACCACGTACCCCAGTGCTAAGGTTACAGGCATGCTTTACCATATCTAGCTTTTACATGAGTCCTGGGGATCCAAACCCAGATCCTTATGCAAGCATTTTACCTACTGAGTCATCCTCTCCCCAGCCCTGCACCTGGCTTTTTTAGGTGGGGGCTGGAGATTAAACTCAGGTCTGTGTTTACATGGCAAGCACTTTACCAACTGCGTTATCTCCCCGTTTTGCTCAAAGAAACTTCTCTTCTAAAGTATGCTATCCTAGCCAACCAGTCCACCATAAATGTTCACTTGCTGAGCTTGGACACCAGGCGCTTGCACAAGCCTGTCCTCTTGGGGCAGGTGCCCACTTGGCACCATCCAGTCCCATTCTCCTGTCAAGATTCTGCCAGGGCTCCCCGCTCTTCATGGCTACCTGATCTGTGCCAGAACTTTGCCGTATCTGGCACAGGGTAACCTCTCAGTCACCAGGTGAGGCCAAAGGTGTTCTCATGCTATCTACAGATGAACAGAGAGAGGGTTGGAGCAGGGGCACCTTGGCCCAGTCCCTCCACTGGACAGGAGTCTTCTTCCTCAGGGCTAGCTGGCTGCAAGATGACTCAGCCAGCACAAGGGGTGCATTCAGGTCCCTGTAGGTGGAGGAAGTTCCTGGAAGCAGAGGTGGCTGGGATGTGGCCAGCTCCATTGAGCTTGGGGAGTTCTGGTCAAAGAGGGCGCGAAGCCAGGAAACCATGACTTCCAGCTGCCCTCTGCACGCATTGTCTCTCGAATTCTCACGGCAAGCCCATTTCCTAGACTAGGCAACCGAGGTCCAAAGAAGACAAAGAAATGTTTAATTAATAAATGGCCGAGTCCGAATTCTAACGCAGGCTAACTGGGTCCAAACCAAAGTTTACACTGTTAACCACTGTGCTTCTCCGCAGAAAGGAAGAGCGTGAAGATAACGCTCCAGGTGGAAACCCAGCATTATAATGGCTTATCTAAGAGAGAAGGAGGGAGGCTGGTGTGACTTGTAGGATCATTAGTGAAGGGAAAGTGATAGGGACCAAGTAAGAGAAGTGGCAGGGACCAGATATTGCGGGGTCTATAGGCCCTGGGGTGAGACGCTGGAATTTCTCATGGGGTTGGGAACCATGGAACATTCTAAACAAGGAAATCGCTGGATGTGGTGGAATTTGGTCAGTCATCCAGCTGTGCCGCACAAGATAACCAGACAGACAGGGGAAAGATGGGAGCAGTGAGGTCAGATGGAAATCTGGAGCATGAGTCAGACCCTCACCTGCTGCATTCCAGACCCTGCTGTGCCCACTGCAGAAGCCTGTGGTGGGTGGGAGCCACAGAGGGTCACATCATCTCACCAAACAGTCACAGCAAACTCCAAACAGGCCTGGATTCCAGCTCACACCCCCCTTCTCTGTGTATTTTAATTTCTCTGTGCCTCAGTGTCCCAATCTACAACGTGAGGCCGAGAGTCTAAGGGATTGTAACAGGGACGTCCAGAGTCAATCATGGCAAATAATATCTCTACAAGAGGCTGGGCATACAGCCATGCTCATTCCAAGGACTGGTTGCTGGGAAGGTGCTGGTACCAACACTCGATAGGGTGGGGCCTGGCATACTGTGATGCTTGGAAAAGGCCAGTAGTCATTACAGTTTGCCTATAAGGAAGAAGCCCTGTACACTGTTCTTGGGGATCCTAGAGGCTACCTGGGCAAAGACTGTAAGCTCCCAGTCAGCTTAATAATCAGCCCCCTACTGCCTATATGAGGCTGTCCCTTTCTACTGGACTCTGGGTAAGGGGGGCTCTGGAAACAGAAGGGGCTCTGGGAGGACACAGGAAGGGATCTAGAAGTCCTTTAGTGAGGACACTCCCACACATCACCAGTCCCTGTGCTGTTGTTGCCCCTGAGGTACCTGCTAGGCAAGTTGGGGCCTGTGTCTCCCCAGCTCTGTAAATCTCCCCAATCCCACCCTAACCCTGGCTCAGTCATCCTGGCTCCTTAGGTCGGAGCTACTGCCACATGACTTTGGGGGATAAAGAGGATTCCTCTCTTCCAAACTGTCTGTCCACCAGGGGCCTGGACCTCCTCCCACCAAGCCCCCATCAGTGCCAAACAAGGCCGGGGCAGCCTCTGCTGACGTGTGGAGGCCTTTCCCTGTTGGACAGGCAGCCGCGTGGGCAACAGATGTCTCAGCTCTCAGCCGCCTGCAGCAGTCAGCCGTGACCACTGAGCCTGTCAGCGGCCTCACACCCAGGGTGCCTGGCCCGCTGGCTGGTCTAACACCCTCCTCTGCAGATACATAGCATGATCCACCAGGCAGACATAGATGCTCCCCCCTCTCACACATACACCCTCTGCCACACACACACACACACACACACACACACACTCACTCTGAGTGGGGATCTCTAGGGGGAACAAGGAGATGAAAGTCTCCTGGATGTGCTGAAGGCAGACCTCACTTGGCCCCAGGGACCTGCTGGTGAAGACAGATGTGGGAGGCCTCCTAGGACAGCTGGTCCTGCCTGTCACCCAGGCTCCCAGATAGTGGATTCCACGATTCCACACCCACAGGGTGTCTATCCCTTCCCAAGAACTGAGAAGTCTCTAAAGCTTGGCCCAGCCTTCAGGGCCAGAGGAAGCAGTAGAGTGGGAGAAGGGGGTTCCCCAAAACTCAAGGAGCCTCTGTGGGGAGAAGGGATGTCCATATCTGTCCTCCCTCTGGACTGGGAGCCACCAAGGGCCGAGCCTGGGTTCTCTTCTCTTTTTTGGCTCCAAATCTGGGGAATCCCTGCCTCAGGGCCTGAGCTCCTCCCCTGCTCTGTCTTCAGACCAACTATCTCTCCAGGGCTGTGCCCCTTTCTCTTCCTCTTCTACCCCCGGTCTAGGAGCAGAGTATGGTCCTGGGACCCTTGAGGACCTGGACTAGGGCTGTACTGGTCCCTGGTTTTGTGTTGGCTTGTAAGGAGGGGAACCACACCTCATCATCTCCCCTTTGCCTGGAAGCCAACAGTCCCTCTTGGTCACTTCCCCTAGAGTGACTGAGGTCAGAGAAGAGAAACTGAAGTTCAGAGGATGGGGAAGAGGGTGGACTTCTCAGGACAGCAGACCCTCTAGGGCCACTCAGACCTTTGGTAGGGGAAGACGGCTTTCAGTTACTTTGCCCCAAAACTTCAGGCAGGATTGGGTCTGAGGAGTTTCTGGGCCTCTGTAGAGCTGTCCAGACTCCTGGCCCAAGTCTGAGGGTTCTTCCCCGGCCCACAGTGACTTCCCCTAAAGAAAGTCAGCGGGAAGCTGGTGTGTGAACTCTTGGGGAGTCTCACCACCAAATGGGGCAGACTGTGCGGGAAGGGGGGTGGGGCTGCTCTGCTCTGCTGGAACTCCCTTCCACGGCACACGCAGGTCACCCAGACCAACCCTCTGCTTTCAAGCTTCAGACACGTCGAGGATCTGGGTCCTGAGTCTACCACAAGGACAAGGTCTCAGTCCCGGGACCACCCTGCTGCCCCGCGGGGGTCGTACTCACCCGCGAGATGGTGAGGGGCGCGCTGAAGTCCCGGCCGCCCACCAGGCGGAAGCCCCAGGGTGAAGGGCCGCGCAGGGTCACCGAATGGGGCATCGCGGGCCGGAGCTACAGCCGGAGCTGGAGTCGGACACGGAGGAGTCGCCGCCGCCACTGCCGCCGCCTGGCCGCCGCGCCCCGCCCCCGGCCTGCCCGCCCCCGAACCCCCCTCCGTGTCCGCGCCCTGCGCACACCGATTGGCCCCGCGGACGCCCGACCCTCCCACTTTGGGGGCTCCGAGGACCGCCCCTCACTTTCTCAGGCTGCACCCCCCCACACCCGCTTATTGAAACCCCCACAGAATAGGGTCCGCTCCGATGTCTGGGTCCCGCCTGGCCGCGGAGCCGAGCCGGCTGTGGAAGCTCAGACACCCGGCACCGGCCCTTTGAAGTCGCTTTTACGGGCCGGTGCTCTAGCCCGGGGAGGGATGCAGGGCTGCGGTGGCTCTGATGGGGGATGGGGCCGCGCCTTGTTCCCAAACCACTTCCAGGTTCTGGCGGGCCGACCTGCCTCCCTACCTCTGAGCATGTGGGGCCCTCTGAACACCACCGCTGTTAGAACCTTGGGCCTGAGTAGCCCTGGACTGGGGACACAGACCCAGGACAGCAGCAAGCCGTGGGTCTATGATGGGGTTGGGGGTGGGTGTGAGTGGAGTAGAAACGGAAAGGTGACCAAAAGAATTTGCAGAGGCCAGGCTGATTTCCTAGAGGAGTTGACCTCTTTCTGGCATCTATATGCAAGGTGCGTGATCTTTCCAGGTCTCCCGCTTCTTGGGCCTTTTGAGAGAGCGATCTTGTCTGCAAGGAGTGTTGTGTCTCTTGGCTTTCCGGAAAGGAGAATGGCTGGAGCAGTGACTGTCTCCCAGGGCCCTTCTCTCCCCGCGGGGATGTCCTTTAACAGCTTCTGAAGGTGCCATGGTTTGTCCAGACCACTCTCTGGGTACCTCAGTCTCACCACATCAGACATCACCTGCTTCTCTAGACCCAGAGGAGGCTCCTAGCTTAGTCAATATTCTTGGCAACCCTTGGTGTGCCCTCTTGGCTGAAGGTAAGGCTTAGGATGCTCACAGGGTGTGAGGTGTGAGGGACTACTAAGGCTTGAGAGGTACAAAGTAAGGACGTCCCATCCAGGGACGTCTTCCTGGTGGGGAGGGTGCTGCCATCTCCTCAGCTGGGAGAAGTGACATGCGTGGTGTGTGTGCCACTGATGCATGTTTGAGTGGGGGTGGGACAGTGAGGAGGACACATTGAGAATAGACATTGGGCCCACCCTACTGTGTGCCAGAGGAGGTTTGTGCTTGGTCCCAGGCAAACATGGGCCCCACATGGACAGACATGGGTGAGAGACCATTTTCTGTGTGGTCTCTCAGGGCTGTAGACCAGAAACTTCCAGCAATTAGATCCCACTAAATGGAGTGGAATGAGTTCAGCCACAATTTACCACTGGTTGTCCTGAGGGTTGAGCGTACACCGTGGGCCATGGTCAGAGACCCCTCGTCAGGATTCTCAAGAACCATAGCAAATGTGACAGTGATGAACCTCGCTGGGGGTTGAGGGAGAAGAGCAGGTAGTTCTTCAGGAATCTGTGGAGGTTCCCAACCAATGCACTCCATCGTGGATTCTGGAAACTTTTCCTCAGACATTCCTGCTTCTCTCTATTGATTCATACATCTCCAAGACCTGCCGTCTTCCTGTCCTGAAACCCCTCATTACTGTGTGGGGGTGGGTGGGTGGTTCAGTCTTCCTGTCCATAACCTTGCTGGCATTACGGCCTTTCTTCAGAAGCTTCTGTCACAGGACTGGAGATGAGGAGGAAGAGAGAAGAAGGATGGTTCTAGAATCTGCTCTATAAAGTTCCCCATGCCATTGTGCAGGGCCTGGGCAGCTTAGAAGGATGCAGGTCCATGGCTGCCATCATCTACATGGGCTCTTGGTGACTTCCTCACCTAAGAGCATCAGAGGCCCATCTCTAAAAGCGTTCTCCCATAGGAGAGAGGCCTGAGTAAGCTGTGCTCCTGGGGTGGGGAGGTAGTCCTTAGCAGTGGACATACTGTATGGCTATTCCTGAGCTAACTTGAGGTTGGAACAGCAGGTCCACTAAGAGTCAGGTCCTATGGCCTCTCCAACACTCCTAAGACCCCCTTTGTGAAGGTCTCGGAGTTCCCTTCCGGCCTTAACGGCCTTGGTCCTGGGAGATTGCTGTGTTGCTGAATCCCTATGGTGGTGGTGTAACAAGTCACAAGGTAGCCATGAAAGCTAGAGGCTTTCTCAAGGTGAGAATGGGTGGTGGCTGGTCACAGCTCACCTCTGTTCTAGTGGCTTCATGAGTCTTCAGGCATACCGACTACCGAATGTGACCAGACTGCTCATTTCATGCATTCCTCATTCATCCAGCAAAACTGTGTTGAGTGGCTTCCATGTGCCAAGGCCTAGGGCTGCCAAGGGTTGGGGTTGAGACACCCGATGAGGACAAGAACTGTGTCTGTCTCACTTTTCTCCAATATCCAACAAAGAACCTGGCTATTAACATTGGCTATGTTAATGCCGTAACTGTTATGGGAATCATTATCTTAGCTTAGACCTTGGCCATGATTCAGAAAGAGACCAGGAGGGTATGAGGGGGCTTAGAAGAAGGAAGACTTCTGCTTCTGCTTCCTTAGAGACCACACTTAGTGGTCTTGTCCTTCAAGGGAGCCCCAAGTGGCTCAGGGCATGATGCCCAGGCCCTCTGTGTAGCCAGGACTGTCCAAGGCCAGAGGAAACCACAGTGCTCTTTCCTTGATGGGTTGGCAGAGCTGGCAGGCTCCAGCAGGAGCAGACGCCCTTGGGAGCTGCCCTTGGGCCTGAGCCGAGGGCGAAGGGGAGGGCGGGACCAGAACAACTTCAGGCCTAGGGAATGCTCAGCTCAGACTGTCCAGGGGCGCACACAGCCATGAGCAGGGTGGGGTAAAGTTGATGGGCCTGCTCACACTTGAAGTACCTTTGTGTGAGGCCACAGTGCTGGCCAGAGGACTAAGACACTGACCTGCTGTGGCCTAGTGGTCACTGATCTGTGGGTGGAGCTTGCTCTATTCAGGCTCAGCTCCCCAGAGCCAAGGTGTCCCTCCTTCAAGATCCAGCTCTCTTCCCCCAGCCACTAGCCTAGCTGGAGAGCTGCATCCTTGCGGGCAAGTCCTTTCCTTTTGTTGTGCCCAATCCATACTTCTGACTATGGCAGGATCCCAGAGAGCCAGCAGAGGAGCGAACTGAAAGAGTCCTGTTTCTGTGTCCTGTCTGGCCCAGCTCCAGGCCATATTACCTCTGGCTCCCCAAGGTTATGTCTCTTAGTAGCCTGTGATTGAGGTCAGGTGCTGGTGAGTCTGTAAGCACATAGGACAACGGGTCATGGGAGGGCTGTTTGGGCCTCCTGGGGGATTAGAGCTTTGGTATTGTAGTGATAGGGAGTCAAGTCAGGCCCTAGGCAGGGTCTGGGGACTCTGCAAAGGGTAGACCGCCAGAGGCATGGACCAGAAGGAAGGAGGCTGGAGTGGGACAGCCTGTAAGGTGGCTTGGGAACTAGGCCCAGCATGCCCAGGGAGGACAAAACGCCATCAAGAGTGCAGCTCAGCTGGCCTTTAAGCTGTGTTTGGTTCCACAGAACACAGAGGAGGGCGTGGCTGTGGCTAAGGGACTTTCCCAGCTCCAGTTTTATGCCATTTAATCCCTCAACAACAACTTAGGAAATGCTGACTACGTGTCTAGCCTATACTGGGTCAATGGGACTTGAGAGGCTGAGGTTTGGGGTGGCAGGTACCATCTTTAAGGGGGTCGAGATGCTGGAAGCTCTGGAGAGAGTCAGTCTCCCAGGGGCCAAACAGGAATGAGGCTGATTCTGCCAACAGGGGCCTAGTTGCTGGCCCCGAGCCAGATTCCAGGGCAGATACAAAAGCAGAAACAAGGCTCTTCAGAAAACAGATTTTGGAGGAGGTGTGAGGGGCCACCCCAAGCTCACACAGTTTCTGGTGGTTGATCTGGAGCATAGACGCTGGTGGGCGCCTCCCTGCTGTAGTCTTTCTGCTGGTGAAGAGCTGTGTCTCAGCCGTCCTTGTAGTTACCGCCTGCACCTCCGTCACCCGTCAGACCTGCTCAGACTCAGAGGAAACCAGCTTGCTCTGGGTGGCAGGGCGGGGACAGGTGTACCCAGCTGAGCCTATGAGGCCCTAGCCCTGAGGCCTGGGAGAAGAAGGGTGTTGGGTGGATAGCATCTCACACAGGGGTGGCAGAAGGCAGGTGGGAGAGACAGAGGTGGCCCAGCCCTGACAGGGAGGTGACAGGACAGCCTGTCAGTCGTGGTGGTGGTGAAACCCACGTGATTGAGAGTTGAGCAACTGAGACCTTGAGGTAGCAGTCCTAAAAGACAGCACAGCCTCACCCTTGCCTTGGGGTGACCCTCATCTTTTTACTCACCCAGTTGTCGTTCAGGACAAAGGATGCAGGCAGCCTGCCCAGGATTACCCAGCCTCTCCCAGCTCCAAATGTTGTAATTCTCCCTATAGCCTCCGCATTAGCTACTTTTTGTTTTTGTTGCTATGATAAAATACCTGACAAGAAAAAAACCAAAAGCCACAAACAAACAAGCAAACAAACAAAACTTGAAGAAGAAAGGGTTATTTTCACTCACAGACGGCGACCACAGACCACCATGGTGTGGAAGATAGAGAGGTAAGAGTGTGAGGCCAATGACCATGTTACATCATCAGTCAAGAAGCAGAGATGAATGCATGTGCTCACCTCACACTCTTGCCTTTTCCTTTCTGTTCAGTTTGAGACCTTACCCAGACGGTGGGATGATGCAACTCACATGCAAGTTTTCCCTCCCACAGTCACACCTCTCTGGAAATGCTCTCACAGACATATCAGAGGTGTGTCTCCCAGGTGATTCCAAATCCAGTCAAGCTGACAATGCAAATATGAAAATTAATCACCATACTTTGAAACAGAGCCCTACATGAGGAGCTCTTGGGTGTTTGGCTTCCCCTGGCAGCTGAAGGTCTCTGTTAGTCCAGGTACACCAGCTCTCACAAGGGAATCAGCTCCTGGGATGAGCACCTGGGACTTGTGTTCATTCTACGTCCTCAACACTTTTGGCC